GACCAACCCTCCCTCTCATTCCTGCCTCCTTGACCTGACACAACCTGACACAACCTGTTCATCTTCTCTCCCACCTATCTGCCCCCTCCACCTCACTGACCGATCCCCATCACTCCCTCCTGCACTCATCTATCATCACTCCACCTACCTTCCTCAGCCCCACTCCTCACCCCTCTATTTATTTCTGAGCTCCCTTCCCCCTCCCCCAGAAAATCCTGAAGAAAATTCTGAAGAAGGGTCTCGACCCGAAACGTCAGCTTTCCTGCTCCTCTGATGCTGCTTGGCCTGCTGTGTTCATCCAGCTCTACACCTTGTTATCTCAGATTTTCTTCAAGTTACCTTTGGTTCTTTTGCTAATTACTTTTGTAAATATTTCCAATTATTTGTGCTATCACAGGTGGACATTAAAAAAATCCATTGCATTATAGTAGAGCAGTTATCTGCTGTGTCTTTGTCAATATTTTTCCCTCAATCAGTGTCACTAAAAGCAGATGATAAAATCATTGGAATATTACAGTTTTGAAAGCTTACTCTGCACAAATTGACTGTCATGTTTCCTACATTACAATAGTACAGCACTTAAATTGAACTTCAATGCTGTAAAGCACTTTGGGACATCTAGAGGTCATAAAAGGGTTACATTTCCAACATGTTGTGGAGTCCTCTTACACCATAATGTGCTTTCCAAACTGCTAGAATTCTAGATTATTTTCATCAAATAGCGAGTATAGATGTGCTTAGACTTAGTGCCTGATCACAGTCATAGGACATGCCACAATGCTTCGCAAGTATTGAATTACTACTTGTGATGCAGCAACATTTGTCTTCCTGGCAAAAATTAACATTGTTTCCCTGAGATTTATACAGTTCTTACTATATCCATACATGTACGTATTCTAATACGATATAATGGTAAGATTATTCATTTTTTTTTCCCACAGCCATGTAATGAATGAACTGATTGAAACAGAGAGAGCCTATGTAGAAGAATTGCTTTGCGTGCTGGAGGTAAGTCACTTTGTATTGCGTGTGGCTGTACTTAGTCTCGTTGAGGCTGCTCTGTATGAATAGTGACAGTTACAGTAAAGCATTCAGCCTAATCTATTGCCCACCTTATTGCATAAGTCATTTATAACAAGAACAATACCTGGGCCCTGAATTTTGTTGCCTGGTTGTGAGCACAGAAATGAAATGAGACATTTCCCGGTTCAATAAACCCAACCCAGGATAAACTGGCCCAGGAGGTGAAATTTTTGTTTTTTGTTCCAGAAATGGCTGATTCCTTTAGGAGGACATCCTCTGGCTGTGCTAATCCAGAATGAGAGTGGAGGCTCTGGCTGTGGATGTGGTTTGAGCTCAAAGCCCGTTTCCCTGCACAGGCGTTTTACGGAAGATCAGTAAAAGTACTAACAAAACCTAAAATGGCTCTCCAGCGCCCTCACCCCCGTTATCCCCTTTCTGTCACGCATACTCCCTGTACCCCATCCATGCTAACATATGCCACTTAATTTCCCCATGCTACCAGATGTCCATCTACCTATCTGATACCACATCATGGCCATAAAGAACGGTTATGTCCGTTTAACTTCTCCCTCTAATAGTCCCTCAGCTTCCATGCCACTCATGCCCTGTATGCAATCTCCATGCTCCTCATACTGACCATGCTAATTTATACTTTCAACCATCTTTTATATTCAAAATGCCAACTTAGTGCCAACTGATGTGAATAAATTCTCCTTAAGTACCATCTGTTTCCTTTTATCTACTATGCCAAGTCACCATTGGCAAACCTCCGATCCCATGCACAAATAAGAAATAATACAGGTCCTCAAATAAAATAAAGTTTTACAGACTTCAGGATATCGAAAAAGAACACTGTAAATCATAAATGTGCTATTACCACATTTAAATTCATTTTACCTTGATAGAACCTTACTAAAGTAAGCATTATATTAAAGTACTTCATTCAATAAACTTGGAATTCAAAGTCCCACATCAGAGTCCAAACCCCCTTGTAACTCAATCAATCAAGTGTCAAATAGTACAAGAAAATCGAGGTAAAAGGGGAGGTATAACTTAAAATGACATTATCACAAGAGAAAAAGTATTCAGGAAACTAATAGGATAAAAGACTGACAAGGCCCCAGGACATGATGAGCTGCAACTTGGGGTCTTAAATTAAGGGTCTGTGGGGATAGTGGATGTTTTAGTTGTAATCTTCATTTCCCAGATCTTCAAAGTCCTAACGGATTGAATAGCCATAAATGTGTAACACTCTAGTCAAGTAAAGAGACAGGATGCAGGTAACTGTCGGCCATTTACGCAAATATGTAGCATTAAGAAAATGCTAGAATCTATTATTATTAAGCATATCATAAAAGGACATTTAGAAAATCAAAACAGTCAAACAGAATCAACATTTTAGAGTTCTTTGAGTATGTATTAAGCAGCATGGATAAAGAGGAACCAGTTGTTATAATTATTTCCAGAAGGTATTCAGTAAGATACCACATAGAAAGTTATTGCACAAGTTAAGGCTATACTGTGTCATGGATAATACTTAGAATAGATAGAGCACTGGTTACCTAGCAGCAGGGATAGATGTCTCATTTTCAGGTTGGCAAACTTTAACTACTGGAATGTGTAACAGAGATCAGTGCTGGGCCTCAACAATTTATAATCTGTATTAATGACTTAGATGAATGAATTGACTATTATAACCATATTTGCTGATGATGCAAAGATAGGTGGGAAAGCAAGTTTTGAAGTGGACACAATTAGTCGTTGAAAGGAAACAAATAGACTAAGTGGGCAGAAACTTGGTTGATGGAACGTAATGTGGGAAAATGTGATGTTGCCTATTTTGATGGGATGATTATTATTTAAATGGAGAATGCCTGTACAATGCTACGGTGTCTGTGTACATGAATCAGAAAGAGTTAATGTATAGGTACCTTTAGGGAGGAAAACGTAATGTTAGCTTTTGTTGCAAGAGGGATGTAATATCCAAGTGAGGTAGTTTTACTGCAATAGTACAAGGTATTGGTGAGAGAGCACCAAGAATACTGATAAATTAAGAAGCAATACGCTCAAATTGGCAGAAATTTAGAGAAGGTTCAGTGGTCTCCTGTTTTGAAGGGGTTGCCTTATGATGAAAGGTCTAAGGCATACTTATTGGATGTCAACACAATTCTGAAGAAGTGTCCCAACCCGAAACGTAGACTTTCCTACACCTCTGATACTGCCTGACCTGTTGTGTTGACTCTGACTCTAGCATCTGCAGTTCTTGGTATCTTTGATACTTTTTGGGTGTTTCC